GTCTGGAGGGATTAACCTGCATGCTGGCTCGCAAAAGATACGTCGAGGCAAAACGGGCCTTGCATGCGAAGCGATTTGCGGGATGTAACTTTGCGAACCCGCGTGACGGTTCATCCTTGCCTTAACGCGGCGCGCATGCAGCCACAACTTAGAAAAATGGCTGAGAACCCTGGGAACAGACTGGTGGTTTGAACCACCAGTACCTTTCCCTGCTTGAAATGGCTGGTGGCGCCAGCCAAAACGAGGCCTGCGCCGGTTCGTTTTTTTTTTTTTGTGGCGCAGGGCAGTTTTAGGCTTGGGATCGATAGCTGAGAAACGTACTGGTTGAAATGATTCTCGCTGAAGACACCCAGTCCCGGTCCTAGGGTCCCGACCAGTCCCAAATCCCAGCGCCATCCCGCAGGGTAGGACGTAGGGTCCAGAGCCGACATGTCGTATAGGTCGGTACGGTACCGAAACGTCGTAGGGCAGTAGGGGTCCATCCGGTCCCCGACAGGAGAAGTCTAGAAGCGTCCAGCCCAAGTCCGACGGTTCCAAGTCCAGAAATTTTGCAGCATGTCCGGGGAAAGTCCAGAAGCTACCGGACCCAAAAAATGTTTGCAGCAGACAGGCCATGGCCGACCGCTACAGGTCTGAAGCTGGCCAAGCCAAGCCAGCTGAAGCCAGGCCAAGTGCTATATATAGCTCTGCTACAATTCGCTGTTTCATCACTTGTTCAGTTGCGATATGCGGAAGCGCTGCTGCTGCGTGTGCGTTAAGGCAACTTGGGCACCGTGCGCCTGAAAAGGAAGAGGGCTCCGGAGAGATACTCCATAGCTAGGCTAGACGTAGAGCAGGAGGACGGCGGCCATAGCCGCCAAGGTTTACTACGTACCTGAGTGGGTGCATCCAGGGTAACGAGAGCGAGAGAGAGAGAGAGAGAGAGAGAGAGAGAGAGAGAGAGAGAGAGAGAGAGAGAGAGAGAGAGAGAGAGAGAAGGAAGATGCCATAGCCGCTATCGGGTTGAGACTTATTGCTTGTGCGTGTGCGGCAGGGCCGCTGGAGACTAACATTTTTGTATATTGTGTTAATAATATTGGAGACGACATCTTCAAGTGTTGATTGTATCTCGACTTGGCTTCTCACGTGTGAACTTGACAAGTACTTGGCTCGTTTCATGGTAGTTTGATAATACAAAACTCTCAAGTTTGCGAAATGCATGGTAGTATTCGAGGTACACACCCCGGAGTCACGGATCCTCGCTCCATTGCTCAACAATGTCAACATCCAACATGTATCTCGACAGCCATTCAGACCGGATACCTTCGGACCGTTCACATATTTTGAATGTTTCCACAGATTTTTCAGACCATTTCGAGCTGCAGATACATTTACAAAGTTGTGCCAGTGCAATTCAGCGAGGCGCAGATCTACAAAAGAAAAAGAAAAAGAAAAAGAAAACGAAAACGAAAACGAAAACGAAAACGAAAAAGAAAGAATAATGGATCTGCAGATTCTGCACCCTGTGTGTTCTCTTCTCTTCTCCTACTATCTTCAGATTCTGCACCCTGTGTGTTCTCTTCTCTTCTCCTACTATCTTCTTCATCCGGGTTTTTTAACTTTTTTTTTTCTTCTTTTCCCCTTTCGCTTTTAACTGAAATGGTTCCCTTTTTATTTTCATATGTGGTTCGATGGAGACCAGGTGAAAAGAATGGTAGTTATTTCAGATATTGACACTGATCAAAACAACTACCAGACTTGATCCATTTTCTTTTCGGCAATAAAAAGCCAAGAATTTCGGCGAGAAAGGCATATTACTAAAATGTTTTTTAAACTTTTTTTTATTTTCTTTTTTCCCTTTTCCAGATGACTGAAATGTTTTGCATTTCCAAAACTTGACGACCAGGTGATGGTCCTCTAATAAAGATTTGGATGTGGAGGCCCAACAAAAAAGACAACGCACGCGACAATACTTGCAGGTTCGCTCACTGGGAGCGGAGCAGGTTGCAGGCAAAACAAAGGGTATATATAATATATTTAAATTATTTGTGTGGTCCCGCCTCCACCACACCCCCGCCCGCCCAAAAAAAAAAAAAAAAAAAAAAAAAAGAAGAAGGAGAAAGGGAACACCTACCGTCTTCACCCAAATAGAACGCATGTTGCATGGTCATTCTAACTGAAGTTGGGCACTCGGGGCAGCTTTCAGTCTAGACTCAAGGTACAGCAATAGTGAGCATGTGTTCTATTCGGGTGAAGTAGGTAGTAGTCGCTTTGATTGCCGGCAAGGGCAGAGAAACACCAAAGGGGAAGAAAAAAAAAAAAAAAGGTGGGAAAAAACAGGTATATCAAATACATTTCTCTGCCTAGCTAAAAATAGATTGTGTACGTCAAAATACCTTTCTTGGCCATTTTTTGGCTAAAAATAGATCGTGTGTAGTATCTGTTCTGATCAGTTGAATATCTGGAAAACAAGAAAGAAAAAAGGTATATAGTGCCTGCCAGAAAAACCTATTGGGCTGTTTACACCCGAAGTCTTTCAGCTGGGTACTCAGCAGCTTCGCACGGTGTGCCAATTAGCGTACTGGGTCATGAATCTGGCCAACATACGGTGCCAGATTCGTCATCCGGTAGAATGACGCGCAGGGAGGTGGAATGAATAATGGCCACCCGGCCTGTGTAGACCGCTAGGCCAGAAATGCATTCCACCTGCCCGTGGGAGCTTTTGTATGTATCCAACCGGAAGGCTTTGCGTGTAAGGTTGTGAAGTTGGAAACAGGCCACTGGGATTCTCGGTGTGTGTGTGTAAAAAAAAAAAAAAAAAAAAAAAAAAAAAAAAAAAAAGGAAGAATACCTGTTTTCCCCAAGTGATCAGTTAATCGGACTTAATCCTGTAATAGCCGTCAATTCATCACAATTGGACACGATTCTGCCGCCCATCTGCAATGATGCCTTCCCTTTGACAATTGCGTCGTCTCTTTTCTGGCAGTGGATGTTTGGTGTTGATTGCCGCAGTCATCTTTTCTCAGGTCAGCAGGTCTTCACCGGCAAAGCCTCGTGGACTTGTCCCTCTGCGTCTGAACGCAGCGAATTCAAGTTCGAAGAAGGAAGACGGCAAGGCTTCACCGTCCCCAGGACCGTCACCGTCGCCGGCACTGCCTCCTCTGTCACGGCTTCCGATTGGAGAAACGGACAAGCCGACTCGCCAGCGCTGGGATCCTTCAGAGATGAATCTTCCTGGATCGGGATCGGGATCGGGACCTGGATACGGATCTGAACCTGGTCCCACTTCCTGGGAGGTCGGCTTGAGGCCTTCCGACGAAAAGTACGGGGAAGATGAACCGTTGATTGCATCTCATAGAGAAGGAGCCGCAGCAGCAGCAGCAGCACCACCACCACTCCGCCGCGTTGGTGCCTTGGGCGGAGGGAGCAGGGCAACGAAACCGGCAGAGAATGGATTATGGATGGCCGGCGAGAGCTGGACATGATTGATTTTTGCTTTTTTCTAACTGCTTTTTTTTCTTTTGTTTTTCCTTTTTGGGTAATTACAACCGCCCCCACTACCTCTGAGTCTCTTTTTCCCTCCCGGGGCAGGCTTGTGCCGTGTCTGCCGAGTCGAAAATGAACCAGTGAGGCGCTCATTCTTTTTATCCTTTTGGTTGGCGCTGCCAAAAAGACGTCCGGGAGGCCAAGCCCCCGAAGACTGTCGTGGTAGACAATTTGTTGCAAACGTTTGTTTGCTTGTGAATGCTAGGGATCGTTTAAGCCGCCACTACACAGCCGCAGCCTTGTCCCAGGCTTGTGGAGACGTCATTTCATCGCCTTTTCATCGCCTATTACAATTTTCGAGGCGCAAATGTACCCTGGATGGTTACCTTGGATGCACCCACTCAGGCTACCGGACCACAAATGTCTGCCGGTGCCAGACAAAAAAAGGAGAATAGTGCGCTGCTGGCGCCGGTATGTTGGTGGGTTTAAGGCCCCCCAAACTTTCCGAAGAGATGGAACTGTATACAAAAAAAAAAAAAAAAAAAAAAAAAAAAGAAGAAGAAGAAGAAGAAGAAGAAGAAGATGGTACTCTATACACAAGCGCCTGACACATCTTCAGACCATTCTGCGTGGCTTTAGGGTTTGGCTAGGGGCCATTTCCAATTTTTCACCCCTCTTGTCGCATTCCTTTTTTTTATTTTATTTTTTTTGGGGGGGGGGCGTGTTGGACCTGGCTTTAGGGTGTGGCTAGGGGCCATTGCCAGCCTCTTGTCGCATTGCTTTTTGGAGGGCCGGACCTGGCTTTAGGGGCTAGGGGCCATTGCCACCGTCTTGTTGCATTATTTATTTCTATATTTTTTTGGGGGGGGTGCGCGGGTGCAGTGTTGCTTGGGGCACGGGCAGTTTGCTCTGCCTGGGATTGGTGTATCCGCAGGATAGGATTTGAATTTTGAACTCATGGTCTGTTTTTTTTTGGGCAACAGATGCATCTGGACTGCAGTACTGTGTACCATTCAGGCACAAGGATTTGAACTCATGGTCGTTCACGCATTCGTCGGTCGAATTTAGTAAAGTTGGATGCTTTTTAATAAGTTTTATTTGGATGACGTTGTTGTATCGGCAGGACTTGAACTCTTGATTGGTTTATCAACAGCGCCATATGTGCAGCACTGGGTACCATTCAGACACAAGGGAGAGTCCATCATGTGTTTCGTGTCAGATTTAATAAAGTTGGATGTCTCTAGCAGAAAGAAAAGAGAAAATTTTAAAAAGGAAATAAAAAAAAGCCTGAAAGGCCGTCCTGTCCAGATTTTTTTATTTTTTTTTTCCTGTCCAGATTTGACAGGTAGGTGAATTGGTTGGGCTTTAAAGAATTAGCCTTTAAAGTTTAAACTTTAAAGTTTAAACCAAAAAAAAGAAAAAAGTTGTTTCACACCAAGGAGCCTACCTGGGATTGCACACCTGTTTAAACTTGAAAGGTAGGCCTGAGTTGGTGGTATATACCTGAAGAAATACACACCTGAGGGCAGAAGGGTGCTAGTCCTGAGTGGTAGAATAGTGATGTAAGACTGCTGGAGCAGGGGGGCACCCGACCGATGAGAACGTCACAGTGGGAGAACAGTAGGCAGGGGGGCAAGGAAACTCACTAAAGGGGTCGATCCCGGACCTGCAGGCCCACCAGATGGGAACATCACAGTCGAGCTTCACCACCGCTGCTGCCACAGAAGGCAGAACTTCGGTTCCTATTACTTTTGCTGCTCCGCTCCCCAAGGACGCACATCCTTGGCCGTCAGAGAGGAGGATAGTAGTGCCTTTTTTTTAATGTTCATATCTTTCTCCATCTCAGTGGAGGAGTACTGACATGCTGAGTTTTTCTTCTTCTTGAGAAAAGGAGAAGTTCGGACTCGGAAACAGATTACAAGAAACATTTTAAAAGAAATAAAAAGAAGAAAAAGAAAGTCTCCGATCCATCCAGGGTCCTGGTCCCACTGCCACTGTTGAGTGGAGTTGAGCTCACACAACCGTGCGACACAGTTACTGTGAGTAAAGAAATCAAAATAAAATTCAAAATAAAATTCAAAATAAAATTATAATACAAGTGGACCTGACAAGTACGCTGCGGTGAAGGACGACGGCAAAAGCAGGTTCTCAAAACACCCCAGACATAGGTTGGACCCCATCTTTGCAATGTCCCCCTACCAGACACCCTCCAACTTTGCAAAATGCCCCGGTAGTTGCCAACTTTTCGTGGGTGAAATTGCAAAAGGCCAGCGCCCAATTTTCGGGGACATTTTGACATATATCTCAACTTATGGGGGTGGTTGGCAAATTACCACCCCCGAAAAAAAGGCCAACGGCATCTCTCTCTCTCTCTCTCTCTCTCTCTCTCTCTCTCTCTCTCTCTCTCTCTC